TATAATGCTGTATCTCAACAGAACTATACAAAGACTCAAAATAGAATTTTTATATTAAAAAACCCCATGCATGTCCAGACAGCTTTAGAAATAATTTTAGAAGGCTTTTAAAAGCTCTTTCTTCCGTTGTTCTGCGACCTTACGTATGCCAGCACCTACCAAAGCAGCTGGTTTTGCCCTTGTTCTCCGTGTCCTGCTTCCTCGAGTAGGTAAGTTGAGATAGGGAGACCCAGTGAAATACGCCTCTTGGATCCTGAGCAGTTGGGGATCTGGAGGTGCTGGGGACCAAACTCAGCAGCTTCCCTGAGCTGCTCAGGGCCTGAGATGCTCTCTGCTGAAGAGTCAGTCCGTGGAAGGGCTCATCACTGACCTCGGCCGCAAAGCCCTCATGTCCGTCCCTGAAACTCATAGGAGCTAAGTGGTCTTCCATCATGGGCAGATCACCTCTGTACGGTCGCATGCTGTAGTTAGCAGGTGAGAACTGGCAAAACTGAATTGCTCTGTATTTAACTATGGTTGTTCAGCTGAAAGCAGACCTTCATCTTGGCAAAGACACTGTTTGGCCTTACATACTTGGTTGATTTAGAGAAGTTACTAAATTGCAAGCTTACTTTAGCAGTTAAAATCTCTCTACGTGGCTGTAATGGTCAAAAAGTAATGAGACTTAAAATTCTCAGAACTGTGCCCAAAACTCATTTTGGATTTGCCTTGCAACAGAACTGCAAAACTTTCTTTGTGAGAGGAAGAGGAGGAAACCTGGCCTTGAATCAGTGATGAAGTGTTCAGTGAACTATTTCTGAGCTGTGTCCTCGAGGAGAGTTCTTCGCTCAGTGTGCGTCCCCTTAGACGCAGCCTATGGCACAGGGAAGAGCCTGTGGGGCTAACCTATGTCAGATAGATGTCAGGAACCGAACCGTAACTGCTGCAGGTGAAAGAGGAGTCCATAGCCAGTTTCCGTGGTAACTGATAGGCACCTGCAGCTCTTTGACGCAGTACTGGATCTGTGCATAGAGCATTCCGTGATGGACATATGTAGCTGTCCTGGCAAAGCCTCATCAGGGTTCATTTTGTGGACAGCAAGCTTTTTTTCCCCTTTCTAGCAAGGCGGTTTCCCTCCTGTTGTGTTGAGCTTCGTCCCTTATTTTATTTAGCTTGTATTTGTAAATGTTTGGGATAACTTTATTGTTTGTTTGAAACATTTCTTTCTGCTTTGTTACAATCTGCGCTGAATTTGCAGACTCACCCAAATTTGCATCTAGTTTTGCTGCAGCCTGAGGTGGTGTTTTGGTAGCTTGCTACTTGCAAGGAGAAAGACAACATTATATCAGTCCATGAGCTTGTGAAGTCATGGAGAGCCATTTGCTAAAGTGGTAAAGATTGGGTGATGCACAAGATTTCTAAAAGATCGGTTCTGTTCGGAAAGAGCAATTGTTCTTTGTATCGTGTGCCGTATCAGGAAGCGGGTTCGTTTGGCTTTGGTTCCCCAGCGCTCCGATTACCACTCGTAGCTGCTAAAGTGTTAAACTACAATGGGTTTGTAATCAGATCCTGCATATCCGCTCCTTTTGTGGTATCTTGCTATGCACCCTTGAAGCTTTGGTCTACACTGCAGATACTGCTCAAGTGAGGAATGAGTGGTGATTGTCAAGATTACAGAGATGGAGATTAATTCTTGGTTTGAGATTATATCTGAAACTATTGTGCACTGTTTGTGAGATTATTCTCCAAACCAGTAGTTCTGACGCTCTGTGCTGCTCAACATTGAGATGTTTTGTTTCATGGAAGAGTTGTGAGCGAGAGAGGGCATAATTAAAAATAAAGCAACATTCTCCAGACTCCTGTAAGATTTCTGGTAAACATTTATAACTAAACCTGTCTTGCACCACAGTCCTTATGTGACTGCCAAAGGGATTTTAAAGTGCTGGAAGTAAGAGGAGAGAGGGATAATCGAGTTTTGTGTGCTCATACGAGGATGCCCAATATGCTTTAACCTGCTCCTTTTTTCCCCTCTGTCGTTAAGCATCAGCAATGTTAAAGCTAAGATAGCTGGAAGCAGCTTTATCACTTTGCGACAGTGCCTGGCCCCGTACCGCAAGCCGGGCTTTCTGAAGCCAGGGAATGCTTGCAATTGCAGTTCAGGTTTTGTTCACCGGGACATCACGCCTTTAACCAATCAAGACCGCTGAGCTAACAAGTGAGAGGGACCTCCCGTTGTCTTCAGTGGTTTTTTTACTTCACAGCTTCCAGAAAGAATGATTGCTACAAAAAAAACCCCCAGCACAGCACTTAAGGAAGTGCCTGTAGAGAGTAGAAATCAAACTGGTCACTAGACAAACCATAAGCTTTCAGAGGCTTCTGGTGTTTTTCCCAGAAAAGACATTTTTAGAAATGTGATAATAGGTATGATTTTTCTGAGATGCTGATGTAGGGACATTCAATGTAAACAGTCCAGGAAAGAACAGAAGAAATGTCAGATTCACCTTTAAAAACCAAAGATACATTTTGATAACCCAATAACGCATTTCTCATATTGTTCTGAGCTTACGCTGCTTTGTAAACTTTAGCTATCCAGAAGTATCCTCGAGGTTGTGCATGTGTATATGGATGATTCTAGGTTTAAAACTAAAACAGATATGAAACGAGATCTTAGAAATTGAGTACGGTTGTTAACAGATACCTTTGAGCGCAGGTTACACTATCTTCCCAGCTGGTAATTAACTGGTTAATTTAAACCTATTTTGTGCATACTTTAATCTGGTACCTTTTCAGGTGGCATATGGTGATGTTACCAGTGTATAACGTTGGGTGCTATGTTGAAGCACATTTTAAGTGTTCATCAATAATATGTTCAAAGTAGGTAAGACGTCAATTCTTCACAAAGTTTTGCAAAGATATTTGTAAGTTTGGCAATGTAAGGACACTTAAGGCTGTCGTCAACACTTCCAGCAAACACGACTTTTTTTGTAAACTATTTTATCTAAAGCCTAATTAATACAGCCATGGGCAAGCAGATTAACCTCACCTAGGGCTTGCTTGCAGCTGTTGGATCACTTTCTCCTTAAAGTCTTGCCAGTAGTGTCCGGGGTACTAGAAGGTGGATTTTGTTCCACTGAGGTCCATGATTGCTTAATGCTCATTTCAGCGGGCATCATAGGCACAAATCTCTGTTTTCTTGTTTATTTAAGTTTTGATGTAATGGAAGTTACATCACTGTACAGGATCAACAGTTACTTAGTAGGCAAACCTGAAACTTGCTAAATGTCTTAAAAGCATACAAGGACGACTGTGCTACAGTTGGTATGTTTAACAGTCGTGCCCATATTTTCACGTAGTCAATGACTTGCAGGTGCTTGAGGTGCCTTTGTGATGCAGAGCATGGCTTCAGGAGGTGTATCTACAGTAAGCTTAAAGAATGGAAGTGATAAAAAAATTGCTATTTCTGTAAATATTCCATATCTGATCGCTGTGTGCAAAAAGTGGAAGATTCTAGTGTGAGTACATGAAGTTTTGGATAAAGCAGAATAAGAGCAATGCATTGAGCATATATGCACATATGATACTCAGTGTGCATATACTCTGTGTAAACATACTCAGTGTACGTATACACTGAGTATAGATAATGTGATTTACCCTTCGTATGATGTAGCATCGTTAAGTTTTGATGTTACTGGATTAGCTGTAAATTTTGCTAAAGATGTGCAAGAATATAACAATTTTTGTATGCCCTAAATTTGCTGGATATTAAATCACTACCGGAAAAAACTCAGAAGAGGAGAAATGGATGGAACTCTGGAAGGGACACAGAAGATTTGACTTTGTTCTTGACCTGGCTACTGGTTGATGTTGGACAATTGGCTTTCTCTCTCTCCCCCTCCTTCTCTTTTTCTGTCTCTCTTTTCCACCTGTTAAGTGCAGATGAATACTAACTCAGACCCTTTGTAACAAAACAGTTTGAAATCTCCTGATAGGAATAACAGCTAATTCTTACCTAGTTATTTAGTGAAACATCTGTACAGGGTGCTGGCAACAATGAGGCATAATTTTAGTTACTCCCAGATGAAAACCACACCCTCAACCATGACTTTGCTGGTCTGTTTCAGTATCTCACTGACTTGTTTTTATGTCTGGAGACCCTTAAGGTTGACTGGGTACTTTCACGTCATTGAGCAAACAGTTTGGGAAGAGACAGATAATTGTCTATTTTCCCCTTTCGTATTCCCTTGTTCCTAAATGCCAGAAGTCGTGATCCCAGAAATGGAGATGGTCACCAATATTTTTGTGGGAAATGCTTTTTACTAGCCATTTGGACTTAAAAGAAACTCTGTATTGAAGAAGGGCTGAAGAACAGAAGGCCACTACACAGTGCAGAGAAGATAGTCTTTCTTGGAGCACTCCAGTGCCAGAGTACAATCTCTTCCTTACGCTCCCAGGAGAGATTTTTGGAAATGCCAGGGAAGAACCACAACCTCACAGTTTATCTGCTGTCCCAAGGGAACCTTCACAGGAGGTGATTGCCAGTGGCATTTCTTTGAGACAGTACTTGCTGTCAACATTACTGCTCTCTTAATTTGTAGATACAAACATGCTTCAGTAATTTCAAAATGTTTCAGCCCTGGCTTACCTAGTTTTTCATACTTCCCTTTGTTTTGCTGTGATAGCCCTGAGTAGTCGGTATGAAAAGCGGGCACAAGAATCATGGATTTGCTGCAAGAATAACTTCAGAAATTTGTTGGTATTAGCAACAGCAGTATGTGTGTGAACATGATACACGATATGAGGGGAGAATCCTGATTAAAATCTCACTGCTAGATAAGTGACAAAGACCGTACAAACAGCATGAGACTCCAGGCCAACTATGGTTATATTAATAATAAATCAGATCTGGTCTGTGAGTTTTTCTTATATGGAATAGTATACATGTAAGAGGATTTTTTTACAATTGTCATTTTTCTAACTTTAATTTAGTTTGTGTGGTTTTGTTTTTTTTTCTTTTTTCCCAGCATTTACTAAATGCTGTCAAGAAACTGGTCTTCTTATGGTGGTGAAGTGTCGGCAAGAGAACACAGCACTGAAAGATTGTCTGGTTGGCTAGTAAGTCCCTCATGAGTTTTTGTTGGTTTTTTGTTGTATGGCCTATACTAATCTAGAAATGAGTAGAAATCTTAAATCTTCTCAAAAGGGTTTTGCAAGGTTAGCGACTTTGATGTATTTTCTAAAAAATAGAAAAAAAACACATGCTGGTCAGGGCCCTACTTGACACGATTTGCTTTCCTTAATAAAGCTGTCCTATGGCTGTAAAGACTTTCTTCTTAATTTAAATGATGACAGATGTAGATTTTCAGCCCAGATGACATAAACCCTATATTCGCTATGCCGAATTACCTGTGTGGGGCTGGGAGTGAGCAGTAGAAGCACCTTCATACCCTCTGACTGAGACAGGATAAGTTTGATTTTGCTTCTTGGACTGTTTGTTAAGATTTAGCCTTGGTCCTGAAAGCGTCCTGCTGTTGTGAACAGCAATAGAGAGGTCAACTTGATGCCATGCTGGATTGAAATGTCTCTTCTGGAAGTCCTCATTTATCCCCAGTGCCATCAGGCCGAAGTGTTAGATTCTTGAATTTCCCAGAGTGAGGGCTGGGGATTTTTTGAGTTTGACTGGGGGGAGAAGGAGGGTTAGTTTGTGGAATGCGTGTCCTGCCCTGTTAAACCAGAGAAAAAGGTTAAATGCCTTTAAACTAGTGACAGTTACTCTCAAGTATTTGGGAACTGATGAAAACACGTGTACAGCCAGGCAAGAGTTCAGGCCTAACTGCAGTGAGAACTTGCTGGAGTTATTCAGTTTTATTTGTCGGTACATACAGAAAAGTGTAGTCCAGCAGATCGCCACGCTGAGGAAGCCAACTGCACATAACAACACATCATTTCGCTGAACTGAACTACCAAATGTCTTTCCCTTTTTCTACCTTTCCTCTGCGTGGCTTCACTGTAGAGGCTTGAAAAGGACTATGACTCAAGAGAGAGCAACATCATGAGAGAATGCAGACCAGCTCAGTATTTAGAGTTTATGAAGATAACTGAAACTGCTTATGTGCTTTATAAAAAAGGGTATTTTATTATTGAAGGCAGGCAAATTTTCTCTGGATGTGAAAAGACAATGTTATGAGCGTTATTAATGCTGCATCTGTTCCATATTCCACGATGAAAAACAGTATTATGCATTTGTCTGTCTTGTAGCTATTCTGATCCATTATTCTATGAAGAATGCAAAACAGAATATTTGAAGCAAAGAGAAGAATACAGAGCAACTGGAATTAAGAAAAAAAGACAGAAGATTACTTCAAATGTGTAGTTAAAACTTAAAATGAACTTTTCAAATTTGAGAAATGAATGGAGAATAAAATAATCTCTGAATTTAAAAGTTATTTTTTAATTTTCTGTAATTAAAGATATAAAGCATGCTGTCACTGTTTGCAAGAGAAGTTGCAAAGGCCTGTTCCTTCGTCTGGACTTGAGATTTTGTTACCAATTTACAAATGGCCTTCTGGAATTTAAAGCTTGTGTCTAATTATGTGTGGCAGGCTACATAAAAACTTCAGGGTGAATAATTTAAATTGTATTAACTGATCGCAAATACATTAAAATTGGTCTCTCTTGTCAGCTGAAGCTGAGGGTGTATGGAGATGATCTTGGTGCTCTTTACTAGAAGAGAAGGGTTGACAAATGCAGAAGAGAAGAGCTTCTTGGACACATTTGATTTATCTTTTTCATGAAAATGTTGAGTCATATGAGAGCCTGATAGTACTTTTGCATACACTGTGACTCATTTTTAAGTCTACATTGTCAGAAGCGACGGATGCCCCACGCCCATGCGTGGCCCAGACTGACCATTTCGACTCTGGAGGAGAAAGTCACCTGATGGAGACCTTCCCTGAGAATGGGAGAGGCCAGGCTGAAGGCCAGGTTATTGAGAGCAGTATCCTCCCCTGCTTTCCTCTTTCAGAACGAAGATGATGGTGTCAGCTTCCACGCTAGAGGAGTGAGCGAGTGACCGCATTTGCAAAATTATTATGGGTAGAGGTGAGTAAACAACTAAACTAGGTATGAAAGATGCAAGTCACTTCTTGTAGAAACCAAGTGTGAGCAAGTCCCAATCTAAAAAGGGACAAACAAAGGATCTTTGTGTACTGATACTTGAAGCTGCTTAATTGTAGAACTCTCAAATGCATCAATAGCTTCACTAGAGATAGTCTGTAAAACTTCACATTACTATTTTGGAGTATCTTTTGAAACATTTTGAAATAAAGGATTTCTTTACAAGTAAGGAAAGGCTGCACTTAGAAGACTTACTCACATGGTAACTTTAATGTCCTGATTTAAAAAACAAATACATTTGTCTGAGTAGGATTTGTTACTTTTCCATCAGAAGATGCAAAATTTGACCTCTTTAATTTAGTAGTGTTTCACCACAAAACCAGTGCCAGGCTAAGCTATTCAGGTAGGTAATTCAAATCAGACTTTGACACACATGTATGTGAAGTACTTAAGTTAACGTTGCAGGTTAGACCTATCCCTTTATTCTGTGCCTTTTACTGGAATAATCAATAATAATGTTGCTTCTGCTATTACACAGCAGATTGCCTGGAGGACTAGGGAATGCATGTGAATGAAAAACTGGAAAGATGTGTTGCATTCTGCCCTGTTAGGCAAACTTAAAAGGCGCTCAGCTCTAAAACTAACCACCTTAAAATAGCTTTTGTGGAGTAAAGTTTCCTACAGATGTACCTGTTCTTGGCTCCTCTGTTCAAGCATTTTGGAAAACAAAAATACTCCAGTTGTTTCCCTGTATGTATTTACAAAAGAGGAAACTTAAGGTAGATGGTGAAATATTTTTTTAAGGACAGCAACTGTTCTGTTACCCCATTATGAAACTGCTGCATTTTCAGCCTCTGGAACATGAGCCTGCGTGTTTGTGATTTTTGTCAAAAGCATTTCCAAAGAGGATTTGGGCTGGAGTGAGCATTCTCGTAGAGGCAAGTACTGTGGGCCCTGCACTGAGGGCTCACACCACAGCGGCAAACACAGACAGCAGCACCAGCACTGGGAAACCTTTTCTGGCTTAGCAGAAAGCGTGTTCAGCAGGGGAGGGGGAACCCCAGTGCATTGACTGGTACTGCTCAGGGGGAGGTCATGCCTGGAACAAAGCCCAGTTTAACCTGCAGGTATTACTCCCCCCCATTCTATACATGCTGTATGTGAAGGACTGTAACAACACACTTCTGCGCTGGTAACTAAGCTCCACTGTCAAGCCTGAAATTGCATGTACTGAATTATGCTGTCAGACATTCACTTGTCTTTACCTACACTCGTGTGTGTGTGTAAGGAAGAACGGGGTTATTGCAGCTCCTCCTTTGTTTACCGTGGCACACGCTTAGAGCTGTGCTCTGCCCTTGGCTCTGGCATCAACTTCCTCTGTAATACACCCACGGCCTTAATGTGATGTTTCCTATTTTTAAATTCTTGATTTCACACCTTTCACTTTCTTAATGTCTTGTGCAGTATCTTATATTTTAATTGCATTTACATCTTTTATTTAAAGTTTAAATGAAAGAATGAGTACTATGAAGTGACAAACTCATACGAGTAAATTGCTTTTGGTTTTCTTTTTGTCTCAGCTGCCACCTCTCCTTCCTACTCAGGTTAACCAAAAGCAGCCCTTGATTCTAATCCATGTAAGAAAACATCAATAGTATTGACAAAGCTGTAAGCTGTCCTTCAGCAGTGAACTGGAGGCTTTTTTTGCTACATGTGGAATATTTTTTAAAAAGCATTTCTATTTTGTCAGAAGTTACTTGTGAATGATGAGAGGGGTATAGCTGTGGAAGCCTGGCTACTACCTTCCTGCCTCAGCCCCTCCACCTCCCAACGAAACAAAACGTGTAACCGCCTGTACCTACTGAGAGTAGCCAGCTACAGGTGACTGGGAAGGGAGCTGGCATCGGTGCACACATGCAGTACTTCATCTAGCCATCTCCATCTAATCCAGGGCTTGCAACTCTAATTAATGGTCCCTGGATGTTTCTTCAAATGCTTTTTCATTTCGAAATCAATTCTGCAGGATTCCTACACATTATGAGCCTGCATAGGTGTAGACAATTGGTGGAATTAATCTAGGTGTGTCTCCAGTGTTTTCAAGTTAGCCTATGAAGATGAAAAGGTTACAGTAAGTGCAGAGGCAGGGACTAACTCAGCTAGGTCAGCCAAAGTCTGAAGCACGGCAACGCTGCTACCCCATCATAGTTAACATTTGTGTAAGTGCCTGATGTTTTCTAACACATGTGACCTTCTTAAAAATTAAGGTGGCATTACCAAGTGCTTACAGTTCCAATTTTACCACTGCCTGTTACAACTAGAAGCTTTCACAAAGTTGCACGCCTTTCACTGTCGCTGTACTGCCCCGCCTGCATGCCGTGCTTACCTCCTTCAATAGGAACCACGTGTGCTCAGCCAGTTTAAAACCATCCACTGTGTGGCACTATTGATTGACGCTGATGGAATAAAGTCTTACAGCTAGAAGACAGATTTGTCACCTAGCCCCCTCGCACGGCGCAGCAGGGCCTCTGTCACACTTTCTGCAGGAAAGGGGCCCATCTTTGCCTCGTCGTAGCACTTGGGAGGATTCGGCAAGCACCCAGGATGCCCACGTTTTTCACTTCAGGCTATGCTCTTTCACTATATTAAAGCTCTCTTCGAACTCCTGAGAGAAGCGCCCTACAAATGTGGAATCTAAAAGGAAGGAGGAAAAGGATGTCATATACCTATTTTAAAAGTTTGCCTTCATAGGGTATAATGAAAACTCAGAAGAAAGATGAGTGGCAGTTTGTAATGCACGGGGTTTTCAGAGTGGTGGAACTCCTACCATTGCAGTCTGAGACCTCACTCAATGATTCACCTGTAAGCCAGAAACTTATTCTGCATCACATTTAACACAGCTGTACTCCTCCCCAAGTAATTCCTGTGTTCTCTGTTTCCTCTGATAGTCCCAAAATGGCCAAATACTTTTGAAATGTAAGTATTCCATCTAGTTAAAACTCAGTTTAGTAACAGTAAGCACCTGGTTATTTCATTCATGCTTCTCTGCTAGATCAAACATCCACACTCCAACACCATCATCTCGCCACTTAATTACTGTATCTTGATGCTTGAAACACTTTGTCTCTTCCATCTCAAAATATAATGAAATGAATTCTGCTGAACAGTGATCTGGGTTCACATCACATTTACTACAGAGAACAGATTTTAATTTTTTTTGTTTTAAATAATGGTTCAACTGTAACTCATTAAAATTAGGGTTTACTTTTAGTGCTGATAATAAAAAACCTAAAATACTTTTGTCCACTGTCCTATGTTCATACATGTAAGTAGCACACTAGTCCTCCTACAGAAAGGAGCCAAAGTCTGACCCCTAAAAAAACTGAACAATACAAAAAAACAACCCCAAAACTCCACATGCCTTTTTGTATTCAAACTAGGCAAAGCAACAACCTTACCGCTCCGTGACCACC